TGCTGAGGGCTCCAGAGCTGGACGCAGTACTCCAGGTGGGGTCTCACCAGAGCAGAGTAGAGGGGCAGAATCACCTCCCTCGACCTGCTGGCCACGCTTCGTTTGATGCAGCCCAGGATACCATTGGCCTTCTGGGCTGCGAGCGCACATTGCTGGCTCATGTCCAGCTTTTCATCCACCAGTACCCCCAAGTCCTTCTCGGCAGGACTGCTCTCAATCCCTTCATCCCCCAGCCTGTATTGATACCGGGGGTTGCCCCGACCCAGGTGCAGGACCTTGCCCTTGGCCTTGTTAAACCTCATGAGGTTTACACAGGCCCACTTCTCAAGCTTGTCCAGGTCTCACATTTTCTTGGGATAAAGATGGAAGATATGTTGCAACTCTTTATTCTTTTTCAAAACCTCTTTTTTCCTCGCCTATGGGGATCATGCTATATAGAAAATACAGTTTGTTTTGGCCTCATTTAAAGTATCTGTGCTTCCCATCTTCTCATACTGAAACAATGCACTCAGCAAACATTTTTAATTAAGGAAGGAATGCCTCATGTTTGTCAAATGTCTGATATCTTTTTATTTAGGTAGTAGTGTTTTTTAATACATGTTTTCCAGTACTTTAAGTAACAGTTTAACAACATAATAAAAAAACAGAATATAAACCAGTAGGGAAAATAATTACCTTTACTATAGCGTATCTTCTGGGTACATATTTTATTAAGAAATAAAAACACATAGTAAAAATCAGCTCAGATAATTATCTTGCTTTAGATAACGAAAATTAGTCATATGAGCTATGGATGATCACAAGAAAGGATGATGAATTCCAAGTCCATGGGATTAAATACAGTAAAAAGTTGAGTACTGGGAAAATCCTGCAATAAAAATTGATTGATTGAAATGTCCTGCTATGCAAGCACCTCATAACTGAGTAGCAAAACTACTTTCCATCTGCATAATACTGAAACAACTGAAGACCAGCAGTTACTTTGGTGGTCAATTTTGCTCAATAGATCCATCTTCTTGGCAGTCTGCTAGCTGATGGCCTTCCATCTTCATAACAAAAGGGTTTTTTTTTAATAATGATGGTACTTGGTGGAGCTACAAAAGTCAGTCTGAGACTGGTGAGACCCATGAAAGTGTTAGAAACAGCTGTTCTGAAGAAGGGCTGGTTATAGGACACAACAGAGAGAGGACTGACCTAGAAAGCAGAAACGGGCAGCTAGGGCTGGGAGTGGGATTGCAACTGATAGCCTTTGAGCAACTATTCATTCCAGAGTAATTCTCTCTCTCCTTTTAGGGATACTGTTTATGCAAGAAGAAAAGGTGGCTGACACTGTAAAAGTCTATTAGAAAATAACAGCACAAAGCTGATGTAAACTGGAATCAATAAAGAGCAGGTTCTTTCAAAGCTTCACGTCCTATGATGTGCAACACGTTTCATAGATACTGAAGTAAATTATTTCTGATGTGGGAAGAAATAGGGAATACCCCATAAGCAGCCACATTAAGAGCAAACAGAATAATAGAAATGATGACAGTAACAACAGTGAGGATAACAACATCACATTTATCACTAATAGTAAAACCAATAATAAGATTAATTCTTACCTGAAATTGCAAAGCCACTGAAGCCTACTGCTAACACCAGAAAGGAAATAGCCACACCTTTTGTATGAGAATAACCAACCACCAAAAGCAAGGTTGCTTCCATCCCAAAGCCTTCAAATGAAACACGTAGGAATAAATTACATTCAAATTACTATTAGTCACAGAGATACCAATAAGGTCTAGCCAGAATAGCAACTTAAAACGAGACAAAATTTTTTCGTATCTTACAGCTATTCTTGAACATACTTCACAGCTTTGTGGATTCACAGAAATATTTGAATACTTATTGTTCGAGACTAAACTTTTTTCTCTTCATTGCTGTGTAAATGACCCAAGCAGTTGGTGACATTAACTCACTGAGCAGTACAGGGAAACTATGAGAAAGTGACTCTGTGCAAAGCATTGAAAAATTCACAAACACACAAATGTGGCAGGGAAAGGAGAAAAATACTTCTTGCCTTCAATTTCTCATGGTTGTAGCGATTTGAGATGTTCTTGGCAAATAGAGTAAAAGAGCATGTTTCAGATAAGTGTGCCACCAACAAAATAGGACAGACCTGAACATCACAGGGAACTTCCAGTCTCTGCCATTACTGCAAATTAACATTTTCTAGTTGTAACGTTACAATCCTTCTGGGGTTTTTTTTTTGAATGACAATGAAAACATACCCTGAAAACACAATGACTCCGAGAATCCTTTGTGAAGATGTGTAGCCAAGCTGCATGGCATCTCTGACTGCAGGCATCTCTATTTCAGGCAGACTGTGCTGTCCATAGATAATGTAAGCCAGGAACTGGCAGAGGAGAGCGACTCCTCAGGCTATCTGGCTTGAAATTTTTGCTCTAATTTAGTATCTTCCTTACATGTAGATGTCATTGATTTTTCAGTTCAGTGACTGAACTGGAAACAAATTATTTTGTGCTGAGTAAAATGATTCTGTCTGTCCCCCGTCTGTTTTTTTTTACCCAACCCTTCCAGCCTAAACTTGCCAGTGGGTTCTGCTGGAAGTAGCACACAGGAACATGGCCAGTTATTGCAAGGCTGTATCCTCTGGGAAAGGATCTCTCCAGCACCACGGTACATGGTTAACTTTGTCTGTACAAGTTTGCAGGATGAGGCCTATTTGATCACACTAATCTTCTGGGCCAGTCCCTATTATCCTTTTAATTATTAACCAAGCTTCTTGCCTCCTTCCTTTTCAAAAGCATGCTCATATGAATAAGGATTTATACCATGAGGACATCTAACATCAGCTCTCCATTAAATGCTTCAGATTAACCAGCTGCAAATGCAATCTGGACTAATTTGTCTCTTGTTACAATTAAACATGGACCAAACGATGATATTTACATCAACTGCAGCACACAATCGAAATATTGTATTTTCAGAATCCAATAGTACCTCCACAATTCATGACCTTCCGTACAGTGGTAGTGGTTAAAATCTTCCTGCTCCGTAAGAAGTCAGCTAGCTGCCCTCCAATGGGTACGATGATTGTCATGACCATGTGAGGAACTGCCGACAAAAGGCCAACCTGCAATTAGACAAATGAGTGCTTACTGTTCATGTCCTCCCTCAGGATTTAGGGGGAAGAGAATAGGAACCATACCTTTTCTTCACCTCTTCCCCCCACCCCGACCCCCATTGGACAAATTTTTATCCTGGATCCTTGTGTGGGAGGATTGCAGACCTTTCCTCCAACAGAATCTGCAACCAACACCTGGGTGAACTTAGGATGGAGTGACCTTAGGATGGAGACTCCACAACCTCTCTTGGCAACCTGCGCAAGTCCTCAGTCACCCTCAGAGTAAAGAAGTGTTTCCTGATGTTCAGATGGGACCTCCTGTGTTTCAGAATGTGCCCATTGCCTCTGGTCCTGTAACTGGGCACTACTGAGAAGAGCCTGGCTCTGTCTTCTTCACACCCTCCCGTCAGGTATTTGTATACATTGATGAGATCCCCCCTGAACCTTCTCTTCTCCAGGCTAAACAGTCCCAGCTCTCTCAGCCTTTCCTCATAGGAACTGGAGAGGCTCCAGTTCCTTAATCATCTTTGAGGACTTTCATTGGACTCTCTCCAGTATGTCCATGTCTCTCTTGCACTAGGGAGCCCAGAACTGGACACAGTACTCCAGGTATGGCCTCATCAGTGCTGTATAGAGGGGAAAGATCACCTTCCTCTACCTGCTGGCAATACTTTGCCTAATGCGGCGCAGGATACCTTCTTTACCGCAAGGGCACATTGCTGGCTCATGTTCAACCTGGTGTCCACCAGGACCCCGAGGTCCTTTTCTGCAAAGCTGCTTTCCAGCTGGATGGCCCTGCAGCATGTACTGGTGCATGGGCTTGTTCCTCCCCAGGTGCAGGACTTTGCACTTCCCCTTGTTGAACTTCATGAGGTTCCTGTTAGCACATTTCTCCAGCCTGTCGAGGTCCCTCTGGATGGCAGCACAACCTTTTGGCATATCGGCCTCTCCTCCCAGTTTTGTATCATCTGAAAACTTGCTGAGGGTACCCTCAGACCCATCATCCAGATCATTAATGAAGATGTCAAACAGGATCAGACCCAGTATTGACCCCTGCGGTGCACTGCTAGTTACTGGCCTCCAACTAGACTTCGTGCTACTGATCAGCACCCTCTGGACCTGGCCATTCAGCCAGTTTTCAATCCACCTCACTGTCTGCTCAACCAGCCCATACATCAATGGCTTGTCCGTGAGGATCTTATAGGAGACGGTATCAAAGGCCTTACTGAAGTCTAGGTAGACAATAACCATTGCTCTCCCCTTCTCTACCAGGTCAGTCATTTCATCATAGAAGTTTATCAAGTTGGTCAAGTGTGACTTCCCCTTGGTGAATTTTCTGCCAAAGGGTTATTACTGTTTCTGTTAGCTCTGGTACTTATCCCAGATATGTGAAAAGACTATTTTGCGAAGTTTTAGTGATCAGCATGTCACCTTCTAGAAGCTTTTCTTTGAAGAAGTAATTTAGTGAGAAGTTTGAGTTTATTTTTTAGGATGTTCAACCTCCTTACATTGACACTGAGTCAGTTTTACATTAGTTTTTAACTCGTGAGGTACACAGAGGTGCAACTCTAGCATTATGAAAGGCAATTCAGAATAAACAAACCTATTTTGTCTTAATACTGCTATTCTTCATCTCCATGCTGCGCTTGGCCATTCAGAGTGTCATTGCTACCACAACAGCATTGTAGAACCTGGGCACACTGGTGCTCCCAGACCACACAGATAATGACATTGTTTGTTATCAGTTTGCAGGATTACACTTGCTTGAAAATTATTTACAGTATAGCAAGTAGTTTTTCTAAAGGAATGTTGGGAAAACTTTTCTGGAACAAATATTCTGAAGTCCTCATGTATGCTCTGAAGAGGAAGTGTAACAATACTGACTTTAATGAAGTGGCAGTGGCAGGAAATATCATTCCATACAGAATTTGACACCTCATTGTCAATGAAAAGTAATAAAATAAAAAAAAAAAAAAAAAGAAGAGGATAAAACCCTTGTCAAGGAAAAGGAATAAAAAAAAAAAAAAAAAAAAAGAAGAGGATAAAAATTACCTGGCAAGTAATTCTAAACTGCCAGCACTAAACAAAATGTGCATTTCTATTTACTTCCCTTGTGGTTTTCATGATTTTTTTTTAGTCAACTCCCAAAACAACTTTTCAGTTCTTTCCTTTTGCTAATAATTTGATGCTAGCAAGCTTTTATTTCTATCAGATCACCAGAAGTATGTCATGACAACTAGTGTGAATAACCTACTGTAATGACTCCAGAGAGATCTGGGGATCTTCAAGCGCTCTTCATCTCCTAGGGTGAGGTCTGAAGGTCACTGCTTCACCTCAGACATTTACCTTGCTTATTGCAAACCCAAAGACTTCTTCAAAGTAAGCAGGCTGACTTATAAGGAGCAAATAGAAGGTCCAGCTTCTGCAAAAGTTTGCCACAATGATTGCATAAACTGGCATTGAAGTGAAAAATCTCTTCCAGGGAGTACTAAATTTCTAGGAAAAAAAATAAAATTGAAGGCATTTTTGAGTAGGCAGAAGGCAGAATAAAGAGCGCAGTATCTTTTAGTATCAGGACTATCCAGTACATTGCATCCAGTTTACACTGCAAATCACTTACAATGCAAGTGAAAGATATCTCCTGGATTATTGGCAAAAGACAAGTAGAGAAACTTTCTTAGAATAGTTAGGATTTTTAAGATGACTACTGTACTATTATTGCTCTACTTACTGAAATTACACAAGGTCTTCTGGAATCCTGCTATTGGGAAAACAGGATCAATAAAAGAATCAAAGAAAACTAGAGAAAACCTTGTGCCGTTCCCCACTTTTTGGCATGAATTTGAGACATTCCACTGAAACGATTGTGAAAAAAGGATTATCCAAGCTAAGAAATACATGGTAGCGCAGCAACAGACAGCTACCTGCTTCAACCCAATCTGTTTCATGCAGAAAAAAAATCTGTGGTAGAGGATTTAATTTCTATAACTTGCTTTTGGCATTTCCAGTTTCTATTTATGCCTCAATACTCCAGACTGCAGGCACAAAAAACCACTTCAGAGCCCTATTCACTTATAATAGAATTCAAATCAGAAGCTGAAATATGCAACTATGGCAACATACATTGACATTCTTCTTTTTTTTAAAATGGTGGTTGTGTTCTACAGGCAATTGTATGCCTGCGGTCGTGTGTGAACACATGGTGGTAGTACTAATGTTCTCTGCAGTAAAGCCACTGTACAGCAAGGGGAAAACCATGACCTGGAATGAGTGTGTGTGTCTCCAGCCAAGACCTGAGTGAGTTCAGCCAAACTTCAGGAGCATGCCCAAAAGGAGAGTCTGGTACTTTATACTCTCAGCAAGGCTACTACACAAAACATGTAGAGAAAAGAGTTTGGAGTTATTTTGCTCCAGAACGTTCTCAAGTAAAAGCCAAGAAGGAAGAGTTTATCAAGAAACAGCTTTGTTTTTCACCACTAGCAAAAATGAGTTATCTAAGGAAATGGAGAGAAGTTTGATGGGAAAATAGGTTTTAGTTTTAAGTTTCCAGGATCTTCCAGGATCCTTTCAGAGAGAGGAGAGAAGTCTTAAAACAATGAGCTGAGCTGTTGTGAGAGTGAGCAGGGCAGAAACCCTGTTCTTAAGCTTTCAGAATTTCAATCATCCTTGATAAGAGCTCAAAAGGCAGCTGGATAATTTAACATCTGCAGCCAGTTTCTTATTTAGCTACTTCCATTAATATTTTTTAGAACAAACATGATAGTTGCTCAAGAGCAGGAGATCAGAGTGTGTGGTTCCCCCTCTCTCCCCAATCCCTTCCCCTCCCTAGATTAAGGAGGCCCTATAAACTGAGAGCTGAAACAGCAGTATGTGTTTTGCATGTTGCTGAACTCGTCCTGTCCAGCTGCATGAACCTGATCCTGTAATTTTCGTGAAAGGAAAAGCCCCTAAATATCAACAGCAAATAGTTCTGCTGCCTTTATGCAGCTAATAGTATCCATCCAGTCATACGCTGATCTTGTGTAAAGCGCTCACAAATTATAACCAGAAAAGCCTTTTTTTACTTACACTGGCACTAGCTAGGCTGGCTCCTTCTCCGATACTTGTTTCTATATATATTTTTTCTTCATTGGTTATTGTTGGATGTGCAGCAGGGCTCTCATAGGCATTAAGCAGCCAGAACATGTACCAAACAATCCCAAACATTCCTGGAGAGGCAGGAAAAGCAAAGCTCGGTTTTAAAAAAACAGTAAAGCCACACTTCAGCATCTGCAGGCCTTGAAGTTTGTTTCAAGAGCCAATTAAACCAAATCTGTGTAGAAAATATGCCGAGGGAAGTAAGAAAATATGATCACTAACTCTGTGTATATTGTATGCCTGCTTGCAAAGTGTTTGAGCATTTTGTCACTTGTATTACGTGATATGCGTGGGGCAGAGAAAAGGCAGAACCAAAGCTTTATGTGGGACCTGGGGAAGGAAAAAAGCACACCGGTCATAACATGGTCACAATCTGCGTAAAAGAACTTCACAAACAGATTGTGATGGCAAATCTTACGGTGCATTCTGTGTCTCCAGAGAAAACCCATCTTAACTGGGTTGCTGATGTGCAAGGCCGCGCTTGAGCGAGCTCTGCCAGGTACTGCGAGGGGAAGCACGAGGCACCACAGATCAGCAATAAGGCCGTACCTGTGTGATGGGACCACTTTGTAAAGGTGGCACTGCTTTTACCGAGAGTGGGCAGCATGGGGCAGATGTCTCAGGGCAGAAGGTTTCAGAGGCATTTGGCTCCTCATCAGCAGCACATGCTGTAGCATTCACTGTTAGCGTGTGCTCCAGGACACGGATCGTGAGTGTTTGTGCTACAGAGCAACCTTTGCAACTGCATCCAACCCTGTCACTGGGTGACCATGGGCTGTAGCCTGGTCATTACAATTTTAAAATATTTTACAACAGATGATTACAAAATAAAAGCTTTCAGAAGCTGCAATAAGTAGGGAATAAATTGGAATACCCATTTGCAACCTCTTCATTCACCAAAACAACTTTGATCCCTACTTGTTATACAGGTTTAACAAAACTGCTGGCAGTACCAGTCTAGTCGCAGAGATCCTTTATGTTAAGCAACTCACCGTAAATATAAAAGACTGATGACCATCCTATATACTGTACCAGCACACCTGCCAGCGGCATGGCGACCACTGCACCTGCATAAGACCCTGAGGAGAAAAAGGATTAAGAAAACATGTCAGTTACTATAGGGGAGCCCAGCCTTCAGCGCAGGTGCTCACGGGGGCAGAACTGGAGGAACGCCTCTGGCTGATTGGCACCATGATTTCTTGTGAACGTGGGGAATGGGATGGCTACTGAAAAATTTAGCTTGGGGTGGTAGGAAGGACTAGCCCTCACTGGTGTGGGATCACAAGTCTCATTTTGCGGCTAGAAGGGCTATGCCCTGTAGGTAAATGGGATTCACAAAGCTGAAACTGATGGTGAACCACCACACAGGCATAAGCTGTATGCACTGAAGTGGGGAATCCCACCTAACCCCGTGGCATACAAAGTGAGCTCTGGAGAAGCTAATGGCCCAAATTTCTGAAGCCTTCTTGGTGTCCAGAAATCCTGATGGTTGCAAATATGCTGGGAGACTCTTGTCGTGGCCCTAGCTGCATGACCCCACAAGTGCTGCTAGTGGAGGGGTTGTTCAGACCAACCCTGAGTCTGTTTAACCATGTTTAGTTTGTATCAGCGGCATGAACAAACAGCTGGAATAAATAGGCAAAAGTTGACAGGGAAAAAAAGGATAAAAAAGTGGTCTGTGCCAAGGTTTCTGATTGGGAAATATATAATACTGGTGAAATGTATAATACTGGTGAAATACATTTCCTACTGACTTGTAGAAAGAGATGAGAATTTAAGTGCTTGGAAAGGAGTTTCCATGAAGACCCTAGGGAGAATTCATGCAATCTGGACACTTGGTTTCAGTGCAAGATGGTGCCAGTGGCTTCACATGTGAGAAATGTTGCTTTGAATTATTCTAGGAAATGAGATACTTGTGGTTTTGAGAGTATTACATACTTTGTTAATGAACATTTGTTAATGCTCTACTCATTAGCAAATAGTTCTCTACGATGGTTCACAGTGTCCCTTCTCCCTCATCTCTGTGTAATTGTAATTCATTTTTCCTACAGCAATAGCAAAGCCCCAGGCAGGAATACAGTCAGAGAAACCAGGAACCTGGTTAACATGGAGTTTCCTAATTTTTCCACTGTTCCTGTGCACCTTTCAAGTGCAAGAATTGGTGATCTGTAGCCACTAAAATGGGTGCTGAGCTGCAGGATGGATCTTTCCATACCCGGTGCTAGGATTTCAAGGAGAGAGCACTGAGGGTGGAGGGGCTTCTTTTTTGGTCTGTTCTTCCACAGAAAATAAAAACACCTAAATAATCACTAAATCCTGGAGTCATCAGTAGCAAAAATAAAATTCCCATAATATGAAAAGCTGCTTTTGTTCTGTCATTTCACTCCTTTTACCCTTTCTCCTGTATTTTAGTGCTGTATTTTTCCCTGGCATTTCAGTTCCACTGCTGATGGACAGACTGTTTTTTCATGTGACTTTTACATTTTCTATTGAATATTCTCTCTCAGACATTCATCTTCAGCTGGCTTTACCCCACCCACCTGCATTTTTTTTTCATTGTTTTCTCTTCCACCTTTTGCAACTGCTTACTCTTCAAAGTCCTACTATTTCTGATTTTTCTTCAGCATTTTTAGACATCTACTCACCAGTCCAATTACCCTGTTACAAATGGGAAGTGACACACCAAATACAGATGATGGGGGTGTCTTAGAGGATGGGAAATGACAGAATGAATTAACAAGCAGGGCCTTTTCCTTCACTACCAACACAGTGCATCTGAGATTACAGCAGAACCATTCCTGCTCTACACTCTGCATATTTGGACCTTTTAGGGTACGAAAGCAGAGGGAGTACATTTGGATTATGCCTCATCTTCCTTACATTTATCCATCTACGCAAATCCAGCCTGGAGCTGGTAAGGAGATAATAATATCCACAGTTTTGCCTGGAATTAGCAGATAATTGAAGATTGCAGGGTTACCAGAAGAAGATGAAGACATTAGGTAGGAGAGTGTATGAGGAAGGGACAGCTCAAACTAGACCTGGGAAAGGGCCACACAGGTGTGACACTCATAGTACTCTCTTCTGGCAAGAAACTGTGGTAGCACAGAGTGACCTGTGGCACCTCTTTTCAAAAACTGCTACCCAGAGGATGGAATTAAAAGTAGAAAACCCTTTTTTATTTTTTTTCCTTTTCATTAGTATGGCTGTAAGCGAAAAGAGGGTATGTTCCTTGAAGAAAAAGGTGTAAAACCTTAGTATTTTTCCTGCTCCCTGCTTCATAACAAGGTTTAAGGCTCTTGGCAGAGGCTAGAAACATTCCAAAGGGAATGAGACAGTTTGATTTCTCCCATTTTTCCACTGAGTTCCTCTCTCCGAAGTCTTCTGAAATTTCCCATAAGCCATCTTCCAGAAGGCCAGCTGTCAGCATTGGAAAGGGACCCAGAGAAGAGAGCAAAGTACAAACCTAATCATAATTCAAAACAAAGTAAAGCAGAACAGCCAGTGGCAACAAGTTACATCACCTCCACTGCAGTATATTGAGCAGCCAGCCTAAAGTACTCAAGTCCTTTCAAAACAATTTTTTAAGTGCATGCTTGATTAGGAGGGTCAATTCAATATGTGTAATAAATGGAATCCCTAAAGATGGAGCAAATGGAAAAAAAACCCAAAAGGCGTGATTTCTCTCATCTGACACCTCTAGACCCATTTTAGTTTACTATGAGAGTCATTCTGAGGGTTGGCTTTAAATGATAAAATGGTGACATATTAAACAAAAAGACTCTCAGGTTCCTGAGCTCAGAGTACAAGCCGAAGGGGTATGTGGGAGGTACAGCAAAGGGCAGAGGGTTTGCATTTCTCTTTTAAATCATTAAATGAATAAAATATGTCTAATAGGAATATGTACTTACCTAAACCGTATAAGCCTATCAACTTACCACAGAACGATGTGGTGGCCAACCTGCTTCTCTCCAGTGGAGGAGCCCACTTACTCCACATCCCGTGGCAGGCTGGGTAGGTGACGCCCTGGCAGACATTTCACACATCATGTGATTTGCTTTCACTGCATTCCTACTTCAAGCAGTTGCTGATATTGTCCAACCTGTCTAGCTGTTTGTCACCGTGGAATGATGTAGGAAATGTTAAGTAAGCCTGGAAGAGCTCTGTTGTTTGGATATGAAGATGTCAAAATAATTTGGATAATCGCTTAAATGGCAATGTGTTCTGGGGTAAAAATACTGTTTAGTACATGCAGTGGATGGCACAAGGAAACTAAAATACCTCGACCTGCAGCACCAGAAACCTAAATTTTTTATTTCCTTTTAAGTAAACTTAAAAATATAAATCGGTACGATTAAAAAATTGTCATCCAAGCAACAAGTAAAAATGTAGATTGAGCAGAAAACCTGACCAAAAGATCTTAATGATTTTTTAGAGCCAAATGTCCAAAAACAAATGATGTATGAAAGGACCAAAATGGTGAGTGCTCCTACCTCCACCAGACCTTGCAGAATCCTTACAAACATCACACAGCCATAATGCACTCTTGCTGCAGAAGGGATGAGCATGTTCAGTGTAGATGTTAGAAAGATAGCTGCTCCAAATACCCTATGGAAAAAAGTAACATGAAAGGGAATATAATTATTGCCTACTTTTCAGAAGTGATGCTGTTCTCAGGTACAGTCACAGAGACAATCATCTCACATACCACCATCTCACCAACCCAAATACTTGTAAAGTCCCCTTATTGGCAAAAGGGGGTAAAATCCCCATATGGACAATACATTTTCTTCTCTGAATGGAACAGAAGTTTTATACATAGTTAAAGAAAGGTGCTGGGTTTTAATTTGTATCACAGGAATAGACATGGGTGTTGGTACTGGAAGCTAAGCTGTTTATATGAGTCATCACCTGAAAGAAGGATTCCTATCCTGGGAAGTACTTAAATTCTGTTAGATCAATAGGGTTTAACTTAGATCAGGTAAAGTCTGGTTTGAGTGCCTCTCTGAAACATGGGAGTGTGCTAGTTAGTTCCACTTGCTGCTGCTAAAATGTGTAACAGGGCTGCTTAAGGTCAACTCCTTTCCAGCATCACTTCTCTAAATAACAGCTACAAATATCCTTTGTGATCGTGACATAGAAGGGGCATTTCTACAAGGCAGCTTCTGTGAAAAACATGATATAAACATTTTGTTACACTGCTTGGGAAGAACACTTGCTGCAGCTGGGCACAAGTCAGTCGAGGCTCTAAATGCACCTGGGGCCCAGTGTGCCCAATGTAAAAGAATATTTGGGGAGCTCATTTGAAAACTGAGGTTGCTGCACCATGGAAAACACCACTGGAAACCAAGAAAGAAACTGGGAACAACTGGTTGGAACAACCATTGAAATTACCAATATTAGGAAGGCTCTACAGAGGGATCTGGACAGACTGGAATGATGGGCCGAGGCCAATTTTATGAGATTCAACAAGCCTAAGTGCCGGGTCCTGCACTTGGGTCACAACAACCCCATGCAACACTTAGGGAAGAGTGGCTGGAAAGCTGCCCAGCAGAAAAGGACCTGGGGGTGTTGGTCGACAGCCGGCTGAACATGAGCGGCAGTGTGCCCAGGCGGCCAAGGCGGCCAATAGCATCCTGGCTTGGATCAGAAGTAGTGTGGCCAGCAGGAGTAGGGAAGTGATCGTGCCCCTGTACTCGGCACTGGTAAGGCTGCACCTCGAATACTGTGTTCAGTTTTGGGCCCCTCACTACAAGAAGGACGTTGAGGTGCTGGAGCGTGTCCAGAGAAGGGCAACGAGGCTGGTGCACACCTTATCGCTCTCTACAACTACCTGAAAGGAGGTTGTAGCGAGGTGGGTGTCGGTCTCTTTTCCCAAGTAGCAAGTGATAGGACAATTGGAAACAGCCTCAGGTTGGGCCAGGGGAGGTTTGGGTTGGATATTAGGCAAGATTTCTTCACTGAAAGGGTTGTCAAGCACTGGAACAGGCTGCCCAGGGAAGTGGTTGAGTCACCATCCCCGGAGGCTTTTAGAAGATGAGTATACGTGGCGCTTAGGGACACGGTTTAGGGCTGGACTCGGCAGTGTTAGGTGTACGGTTGCACTCGATGATCTTAAGGGTCTTTTCCAACCTAAATGGTTCTATGATTCTATGATTAGTAAAAATAAGCTGTACTTGATTGATTAGATTTCATGTATCTGAAGCCTCAGGTTTCCTTTCTGTGCAATGAATGGGGTTCAATAGCAGTGTCATGAACTCTGAATATCAAGAGTTCATTAACCTAGCATCTGTGGAAGCCGATATACCTGAGGATCCCCTCTAAGATCCTGCTACAGCACTGAAAAATATCAGAACTGGCAGTAGGAGTTCTCCACAACTGCCAAGCACCATTTACATTGAATGGATTACTGCTAATCCTCAGTAGTTTACTGTCTTCTTTGTGTTGTCTGCAATTCAACAGACTGCCTTTGTGTTGGAGATCTTTCATTCTGCAGATAGAAAGTTGCAGCAGTTGGTGGCCCTGGGGACCACAACACTTAGCAGATGGGAGGTCAGCCCAAAGCTGCCCTGTCTTGCTCCGAGACTCAAGGTGACACACTGAGAATAAAGCAGTCCTTTTTGTTAAAGGCCCTCAACTCCTAGCTACACTGATGTTAGCTAGCAGCATGCTGCTGTTTGTGGACCATCATTCATGTTCCTTTTTCAGACTATTCAAATTCACTGATGTTTAACAAGTTTTGAATTGTCTTGTTATGCATGTGGCATTTCAAAAAGACACATTAAGCTTCATTCTGATATATGAATGGTATTAGACAGATATTTGATCTGAAATCATATGATTTGGACAACAGCAGTATTTGTCTCCCTTTTGATTTTTCTGCCAAAGGCATACACAGATCTTATTATGCATAGCTGTTTATCATGTTTCACTTCAAAATATTTATAAACTTTTAAAACCTTTTGTTGCCATTCTTTTCTTCTTCTTTTTTTTTTTTTTTAAATAAGGGTTTCAATGGTTTCCATTTCAGTCTGTTTTTGAAAACTTTTTTACAGGAAATATATGTCACCTCATTTTTTAATCTAGGCTTACTATGCACAGTAGGATTAATGGTAGTATTATAGCGCGAAGAATCTACAGTCAGAGATCAAGACTGTTTTGTCTAAATTCTCTACACCTATTAACAAAAAAAACAGTCCATGCCTAGACAGCTTATAATCTGAATGACAAGAAAGCATTCAACAGGTGAACACAAAAGCAAAGAGGCTGGGTAGGCTGGTGGAGGGAAGTGACAAAGGAACAGATTTAAATAGAAAGCAGTCTGAAAATCTGAACTGGAATACAAAGCCTATGATCATATCTTGACATTTAGGAGACTGCTTTCAAAGCCAAGTAAACATTTAGCTGAGAAATAAGTATTACTTAGCTCTCTATTATGATTGGTGAAGAAAAGAGTTTTGCACCTTGCTTCCTTGCCACTAACAGAAATATCAGGTCTGTTACCATAATGCTATTGACAGTCTCGGGGAACTACAGCAAATCATGTAAATTAGCAAGCACGTGAAAGAATAAGCCATAAGAAAGAGAAGGCATTTAATTATTCAAACAGCTAGCCCTGAAGACTGAGTTTCCAATCTCTGCTACTTCATTTAGCACCAACTCTTAATATGCCTAGGTTGTAAATGCATCATTTATACTGAGTTAGAACCAGTCACTCCCCTGCTACTATTTAAGAGGGCAGGTAGTGTTTCCACAAAGAGCCAGCATCTTTCCAGCAGTTCACTGCCATTTATCCCAAAGACGTTGGTCCCCACCATGACTAAAAATATCCCAGTTCTGTTCAATTCATTAATGTATTCTTCTCTCCTCGCTGCTGTGATCCCCAGCCAGCTGCCACTTTGGGATCAAAACACTTCTTCAGCGACAGACTCCTATGCCCAGCAAGGTGCTGTTACTGAAAACTGATATCAGGAGGTGCCTTATGTTTCGTGTATCCTTGTCACCACCAAACAATGATGAAACTACATTTGGATGCCTGTTTGAGGATAAGCAGCAAGTTAAAGGGACATTGTCACTAAATGATTCATGAACTTTTTGGTGGAATGCAGACCTACACAAATTTGGACGAATGTATAAAGCAAATTACATGGTGTTAGATGGTTTTGGTGCATAACCATAAAGCACTCAATATTTCCAGCTGTTCTGAGATCCATTTGAATCCCTCATTATTACAGATAGCTATTTGCATTAGAGAAGTGCCTAGGGTGGAGGCATCCATGTACGTTCAAGGTTGCACTGTGCTAAGCAGGATTTAAACAAGTGACAAAGGTACCTAAATCTATAATGTCAATAATAGGATAGAATAATACATCTCATTGCCAGAGTGCAGTTGGGACAAAAGAAAACATTTGTCTTTCTCGGGGGGGATGGGTTCACAGCCTGCCCCCAGATCTCCTGGTTTCCTGCCCTGTGTCTTAGCCAGTAACCCCTCTGAAACAGAAACTCGGCACCGCTGGTGAATGTACCTAAGCTGAAATTGGTTGGGTAAACAAGGAATAATGGAAAAACATGGTGCTAGCCAGACCTGTGAATCCTATTGCTACAGACAGAAAGTCTCTTTGAGCCCAGCCTTTGGGATATTGTTGCTTCTCAGCAAATTCTACTCCTAAACCCAGTTATGATAGCCAAATCCATAATTTTATGTTGTATTACAGTATTAGATTGAGTCTGAAAGTCTCATGGGGACAGAAATACAGCTTTCTGTGCATATACACAACACATACCTAAGGAAGTAGTCAGCTGACAGAATACGTTGAGTAACAGTGTAAACATGGTTGATTTTACTGTTTGCAAGAAAATTAAGGAAACAAAAGCCAAACAAATAATATGCTGAATTATTCAGCCAGCAGTGTGCACATCTGTGTTTCGGGGCCCTCCTGCTGCAAAAGCTGGTGGCAAGACTAAAAAGGCTGGGGGAATGATTAAGCTTAGCTAATTTCTTTGGCTTATTCGGCAGATGGAAAAATATTCTGCTTAGGCACTTTTGTCTGGTAGAGGAATGAATAATTGAGGATGTTAGTAGTGTTGAAGAAGCAGTGCAAACTGAACTCTGAGTAACTTTTGGCTACGGACAGAAGGGAGTTGGGACTGAACTTCTGGGCAATTCTATGGGATGACTCTGTCCTGGAGTCATTTCCATAAGGACTTATAGGTGGGAAGAACTCCCAGGCAGTCTTCTAACTCTTATAGCTCTTTGCAGAATGCAGAGAGCAAAGTACTTTGATTTGGGGCAAACCAATATATAACTAGCCTTAAAGACCTTTTCCAATTCTGAAGTGTTTGTAGATAAGTCACATCTTGTTTGCAGAGAATGAAATTAACTCCAACCATCTTTTTTATCTGTAGATCCCAAACACTCTTAACATGCATATCTCATGAGCTCATTCACAACCAGCTGTCTTCAGACACTCTCCCTCTCTCTGTTGTGATCATATTCCAAGTTCTGAAGACTTTTTGAAGTAAAGCCCAAAACCAAAGTTAGCTTTGGCAAAATTAGCTACTTTTCTTACTTTCATTTTCAAAAGCAGTTGAATTAAAAAAAAATCAGCCCACAAATACAATCAGCATAGAAGAAATCTGTATAGATGCTCGTAGTTCACCAAACAGAAATCTTGAGGCTCTATTAGAAGTTCTAGGCAATCCTAATTACAGACAGTCAGTACTGTATCCAGCCATGGCGAGGATATCCATGTGCATGAGGATGGATTTGTGTCTTCAGAACATAAATAGTTCTGTAATTCCTACATGCCCAGCTTCAGTCCACAGGGAATTTTTAAAGGAGAAAAGTCAAATTTTGTTGGAAAATTTTTTTTTGGTGTTGAGCTAAAAAGCACTAAGGCAACTTCTGAAAGACAAATGCTACAATCATTGTCTGAAGCATTAGGTGTGATTTTCCTAACACTCTCCAGAAAGCATTATTGTTTCGAGAAGAAATGTGTACATATTTGAGATTAACAAGCTAAATTGGGAGAATCAGCAATAGACTCATAATGGAAATCTAGGCCCATTTTTTTGGTTATAGACTAAATACTGCACGTTCAGTTTCAGATGTGTATTCCTGAAACACATTAATTCACTATTTTGGTAATCATCATTTAAACAGTGTAAAACAGTCATCAGGCTGTAAAGCTTAATTCTTTTGATAATTGTTTTCTTACCTGTTAGCAGCCAATTTGTTTGAGATGAACCCTCCTGGAATTTGTGTCACAATGTAACCCCAGAAAAAAGAGCCATGAATGAGTCCCACTGTCTCTGGATCCCAGTTGAATTGGGCTTTCTGTAAAGGAAACAGAAAAAATGCTGTAAGATGAAGCATACTTATTGCAAGATAACCACTATTTGGAAGTCACACAGAAGTCACTCATCCTCCAAATCGAGGCAGTCTCTTTACGCTGGTGTTGCTGAGCTTGAATCCCCCCAGTTAAGGCAAAAGGATGTCAAATTTCCACGTGAGATTACTGCTTTTGCTCTTAGCTATCAGTCGGGTGGATAGGAACGGGGAAGGGTTTCAGCCAGAGGGCAGCTAATGCTGGAGCTTCATCTTTGCCACTTGTCACTGCTTCCCCCTGGGCTGCTTAGTCCTGAAACGTGCTCGGTGTTATAGCAAGGACCTGATGCCTTTCAATGGACATATCCATTTCCCCAAGTTTATGGAGGTTGCTCAGGTCCTTTGGGTTGATCAGCTGGTCAGGCTGGTGGCATGGGAGCAGAAAAGGGTGTGTGTGTGTGAGGTGTCAGGGGTAACACCTGAAGACAAGGCAATCTAGAAATAAAAGTAGGTAGCACTAGCTAGCTGACTAGTTTTCCTTTTATTAAAAGTGATGCCAGTCATCGGGCTGGATTTGGATACAGAAGGCCACCCACAGGCTGGTCATAGATGGTTCCTAGCCAAAAATGTCTGCAGCCAAGAGAAATGCTTTCACCATATACCTCATCCTTGGATACCAAGCAGTTTCAATCTTCTCAAGGCTCTTCCTGAATAAGGACATTCCTGTTCTCTGATGACCTTGTTTGACATACTTTGTTCAGAGGAGGGATAGCCAAAGCCCAGGGCAAAACATAGAGGAAGTGAAGAAAAGAAAGGTGGATCCAAGGTGCCCCTCCTGCCCTCCATTCTGGGAGATCAGACAGGGCCTGGCACAGTATAATCACATTAATGTAAGGTCAGTGTCAACTTTTCCTCCTTGAACCCTCAGTTCAGAAGAGCTGTTTTGGAGCAAAGAGTAACCATGATGTTTCGCTTCATGATCATTTTTATGGTAACCGCATGGCACGGAGAGGTGGCTAAGCATCATATGAGGAAGTAGCACAGATGTCTTTTAGATTCTGAATTAAAATTGTTACTAAAATACTAAAGAAAAATGAAAACTAGAGTGATAAACCTTAACATCTCTTTTTTCTGTATTACTTTCTGTGTGTAAAAGAAGAACCAGTTTTCACCAGGAGGTTGATTTTTTTTCCCAAACAAGCAAACTAAAAAACAGCTCCTCATTTAACCTACAGGGAGAAAGATGGCATTAATTAGCCAGGCATGTTTACAGAGGGCTAAAGGATTTCCCTCCCCATCAATATGCATTCTGACAAGAGACCTACTTTCCTGTGCTGAGTTACATTTCCGTTCTAAATACCTAATTTTCGACTAGCAATTTCCAGCTTAGTTTCTAGGTATTGTTAATTTCTGAAGGCAGAAACACCATGCGACATGGAAAAAGTTCCTGTATCAGGAGGTGCTCATGCCCAAACAGAATAATGTGAGATGAGTTTGTCCAAATTTCCACAAACTACCTCTTCTGAGCTTCCCAGCCTATGCAGGCACGTCCTTTCTCTTGCTACAGTGTGAAGTATAAACCAGAAAGCCATAGCGGGACCTCGGGGAGCAGAAATTAGACTGAATAAACACAAATTCAGCAGCAAGTCTAAGCAGCAGGAGTTGGTCAGAGGAGATTGCAGATGAGGAAGAACTAGGAAACTCTTCATTCACTTTGGTAAATCTTTCTAGGGTTTATTGAGTCTGATTAGAAACACTCTTTTAACTTTGGAAATTTACTATAGACATGTTCTGCAAATTTCTTGTACCAAAAGTTAAAATATTTGGCAGAAAAGATGATGAATAATTTTCATTCATCTCTAGCAACACTACAGAAGGTATCTGCCTCCCTGGGATATGTGTTTTATTTTAGGGAATGTGCTGAGAAACAAAGGGTATCCATGGGCTGGAGGAAGCCTGTGTTCCCTAGGAGGGACTGATGATGCTTTGTCCTTCTGTAGTGGCTTTCCTCCTAGACCTCAGCACATGGGGAATCCTCACATAAGAGTCAATATTCCTGTGAATAATTTGTTATGACAGTATCAAAAAATAAGTCAACAAGCAGAGCAAATGTAAATGAGGTTCAAGTTCATAAAGTCCATAAAGGGACTCATGATATCACAGCTATGTACCAAGGCAGGACTGGGAAAACTAAGATATGCATTGAACCTGCAGTTCCTTGGATGCATCGTTAAAGGTTTGTAGGCATCTGCTGTGAAACACATGCCATCTACTGCAAATCTGAAAATAGCTTGGTACCTAGCTCCGAATACTTCTAGACAGCAATCCACATTGTCAATAACCTGTAAAAACCTGTTGTCTTATTGCCAGTGACTACTTTAAGGTCTTGAAAGTCACCTACTGATCTCAATAGAGTGAGTGCAGTGCTACATACAGCAATTAATCACTCCTTCTGTAGCAGCATCAGAGCGTGCTTCCCTGAGAGATAGTAAATAGTAAAAGCTTCTGCCACCACAACACAACCTGTCTACGACTGGAAGATCAGGGACCTGATAGACATGCAAGTCAATTCAGTTCTCATTTCTGCTGCTTACATCCTCTATGACATTGCAAATCCTCAGATCTTACAGATTTTTAATGTGACTTAGAGACCTAAATAGGAATTAAGCACCTACACATCTATGTGAATTCAGATTCACATGTCTCTGTTTTTGACCTATGTATATAGACTACTTTGATGTGTGGCACTTTGATGATTTTGCAATGGGGTCTGCTCAGAACAGTGAAAGGAAGACGTTTTCTCACCTGCAGCTCTGGTTTTCCATTAACATAAACAGTGTTATTGTTCACCATTTCCACGATGGCAACACCCAGGTTACACCTAATTCCGAAGGAGATGCAAAAGCCCAGACCGCTCATTATGGCAATGATGTAGCGCTTGGGCAGCCCGCAGCAGTAGCAGTCGCATGGTGCCAGCTTGCGGGTGCTTGCCTGCACGGGCCGCCCCTCTTCTGTCAGCTCAATGTGATCATCCTCTACGTTTGTGCCATCGATTTTCCTAAACGGATGAAGAAACAGAAAATGAAAATGCCTTACTGTCTCAGTTAAATTTGCTGAAATGTAAACGGGCAGTTACATGCTCCAGTCAGCTGCTAAATCATCTCCTTGCGAGGCGTTTGTCTCTTGGTTGTGTATGAGTTAATGCTGGGCAGGCTTTGAAAGGTTAGCATAGCCTGCACTTTTTCATGAACGACCTCTGAAGTTTGTAAATCCAAGCCACCTAGCTGGCCAGCTAGCTAGAAAAATGTTCACAGGCTATTCATGAGCATAATTATGAGAGCCAAATTGAGCTCTGTTGTGATAAATTCTGCAGGTAGTTAGGAAAATATACATATGAAGAAATTCGTCATCATTTCTAATTAGATCCACTAAGCAAAGCTGGCAGTAGGTTTTAAGAAAAGGGCAAATACAGTACAAAGCATGGTTTTGCTCAGCCCAAAACTCCCTGTGAATTTGTTTTCACTTGTGAGACAAAAATCAGAGCTATACTGAAGAGAAGAGGCTCTGGCATCAAAGCACCTCCTTAAGATGTAAAAGACCCAGGCCCAGACTTTCTCTGCCTGAAGGGATTTGAAGCCACGTGTCCCCACTTCTCTGAAACATCCTCTCACCACAAGGGCTTAGGTCATTGCAAAGCAACCCCCGCAACTCCTATTGTTGAATGTGTTGAACTTTTGTTTAAAACACTTAATATTAAATGAGATCTGAAGGAAGACAGGGGCTTTCTGGGCTGTTGATTCACCACTCCTCAGCAGCGGAGGCTGAAATGGCTTTGCCTGCATCAAATTTGGTGTGGCAACTGCAGTGCGGTTGGGAGGAGCCGGGAGGGAAGGGGCCAGGGATGCGGGCTCTCCCATTTACTCGGGATAGGGGCAAATGGTACCCAGCCACTTCAGCCTGCGAGAGGCTGCCCACCAGCTACCGGCTGACACAGGAGGGCAGCTCCTCCGGCTTTGCGTATCCAGCCTTTCCTTTTCCTAGAAGTAACCCAGTTGAGAGATTCATATTAAACAAAATGGCACTTCCATGTTATCTGGAATTGCATGACAGTGCAATTAAAAATTAATTTGGTCTCCCAGTCTGATTGGAGATATTAACATCCTGTGCTGTAGGACCAGGGAATGTCTCTGGTAGAAAAGGTGAGGTCAGAAAGAACTGAACACGGTTAAATACTTCCTTTCCCAACATTAACTTCCCATGTCTTTGTTTTAAATGCAGAATATGGGTTTTCTGACACGCTGAAACACTTAAGCGCATGGTTAGCTGTGAATACATGACTAGCCCACTGAACACTATCCATGAGCTTAAGGTTAAGTGTTTACTAAAGGATGGCCTCGATCAGCAGTTACATTATGAAACCTTCTAGTTTTGGCATTGCTCTGAAGCAGTGAGCTCAGGATCCAGCTCCTTTTGTGTCTGCCATGGAGTTACTCTCAGTACTGTAAAAATATGAACAGTTGCTTGATCTAAAGGAAGCCCAGCTTGCTATATAAGATGATGAAATTATTTCATTCACTCTTTTCTGATAAGAAGCAACTTATTTCCTTCTTTCACACATCTGGCTGAATGTATTTGAAATCTAATGCACTTCGGTTTTCCCTATAAAAATCAGCTATAAAGAAATGTTGCCAGAGCATATATGGATGGGCTACACCTGGCCGACCTACACAGCAGCTGGTTGGGTTTTTTGGGAGAACAGTGTTGGTTTAATCACAGCTTTCTCCAGTTGCTGTAAATCTAATGTATTACCCATAATCTAACAGCTAGTACTCTATACTAAAGGTTTTGCAAATATAGGTGGTAAGTATGGCTTCCTGGGGTGCCATATGAAATTTCACTTTCCAATATGAAATTTCACTTAAAAATCTCAGCATTTCTAGGCTTTACAGCTACAGGCTAACTGATGCATCATTTACTATATTACTCCTTTTTACATCGTATCATCAAGCCATTACTCCAGCCTTATTCTAAGCAACAAGAAAAAAAGCATGTTACAGTCCATCAGCTCACATTTCCAAGAAACACTAGAATCAGAGTGTTTTAGGCCAGAAGGGAACTCCAGGGGTTATTTGATTTAACCCCTTGCTCAAAGCAGTGCTAACTGCAAAGTTAGATCATTAGCTTATTGTCAGGCTGGAGGGAAGACTTTGCACTAAAGCAAGGTAACACAGGAAATGTGATATTACTGTGGTGTTATTGAAGGTGATTGAGATCTTATGATTCACTGGCAGGGAAACAGCATTTGTTAGGGAAATGACAGTACAGGGAGTAATGCAGTCAGGCACTTTAAAAAGACACCATATATTCTTTGCTGTATATATAGGTAGGTGTAAACTGAATAAAATATCAGAAATAAAGACCTCAGGAAGTGAAAAGACAATTGAATAATTATTTTTTAGAACTGCTGTCATCTCAAAAAAGTTATTAACAAACCAAAAGAAGTAATTTAATTGTCTTCCTCTAACATAATCTAAGATACTGATTGAATTAAATCAAAGCACAATTCCTCAAATTTTTATACCTTTACCAGGCTATCTATTTGTAAGAGAGATATTAGACTTTAATTGGTGCATTATTTTGGGCAGCTGGCAACGATTAGACACACCATGCAAAGCCAAAACATCTGTTCTGATCTGGACATTTTCAGCTGGCTGTCAATTCACATAGGCATGAAAACATCCTTCTGCTCCAAATTCAGTGTTAAAAGTGATGAGCCAGGACTAGCACTACAGGCCAACATTGCCTCTGCGGAGAAACTAATTGTTTTGCTATTGTATTCAACTACTCATTAATAAAAGCAGGTTGAGGACTGATCCATGACCCCAAATTCACACAGTATTTTTCATACCCCCAAAACTTAACGTTAACCCCTCTGTAGCAGATTTGTCTCGGAGAAAACTATTTTGCAATAGCAGTCCAAAAATGGAGCTGGAATGAAGCATTAGCAGTGCAGACATTCACAGAGCCAATGTTTGACCTAGCTTTTTGGCCTTATTTTGTTGAACAGGTATATAATGAAGGTATGGCAACTCCATGAAAAGATGAGAAATATATCTTCCAATTGATCTGTATATTTTGGTAGAGCCACTAAAATTTTCACTTGTACACTGATTTAGAAGAAAACTGCTTCAGAGCCAGGGCTCTCCTCTAATTATCTGACTAACGCAGGAGAGCATTTTGCTGCATGGAAAATGTTCAGTCCTTACATCAATCTGTTTCCTTTTTTCAGCAAACATACAACACTTGGCAAGTAAGAAGAGCTAAGCTATTTGAAGATTTCTGCATCCATGTTCTGTGCCTAAATGTCGTAATAACTCTATGCAAAATTTCTCTTCTTTATTGAATGACTTTACTCTGGCATATACAGAATTTTGGAAGAATGAAGGAAATTTCAAAAATTCCTATCAGTAATAAATAAATTCCCTAGAACACAAATACATTAACAAATCTGTATTTATGGGATTTTAGCATAGGAATTAGTTATTTCTTCCGATGATGAAGTAGGTAGACTAGAATCATACCATTTCATTTGATTAAACACACATACATTCTACAATAATGGGCAAATGTTAATACTTGCCATGTGTTAGAACACATTCTAGAATGCCTTTTACCAGATATTACAGTCTTTCACAGGCATCTGCAGCACAATCATGCACGATGTTCAAACCTCACACCTACAAATCCAGCATCAGTCATCACATGCAACAATTACTGATGATCCTGGCATAAGTTCAGAAACCTACACACTGACTATTGAAAAATATCATTTATCCAAAAGCGGATACAATCTTCTGAGATCTCATTTACGCTGTGGGGATTTGCTCAGGTGATAATTGTCCACACCAAATCCTACAATTGATGCATTGGTACAAAATCCCAGTACAGACAGGCAAACCTTCTTAAGTCACTCAGTGCATGGGACCTCTCCGGCTGGTTTCTGCATGGTATTTGCATGAAACTCATGGCATGTCTCAAATGTACACACCATGGGACTGCATCTCACAGGTGCTGCGCTCCCAGGCTGCAGGGCAACCTCGCAGTTTCTCCTCAGCACAGCCCCAATGCACTGGAGGGATGCCCCATGGGTGCTGCAGCACAGCGCTGCACATGCATATTGTGCCCTTGCACTGACACCGTTGTACAAGGGGCCTTGCACGACTCACAGACCAGCTGAGTCTGGACACTTCACATTGTGTTCACAGTGCTGCATGGTTTGCGGTGCACTGAACAATTTGTACTTGTGTGCAAAGGAAAAATTTGAGAGGACTAAGGCTATGATCCAGCACAGGCAGAGGAGCCCTGTCCAACGCAAGGGTATATTGCCCAGCTTGAAGTTGCAGTTTTTAGCAGTTTGGGCTGTCTAATTCATCAATGAACATCTGCAGCAGCCAGAACTACACCTACCAGGGCCCAGACTACATACAGCAGCTGTGTGACATGGCCCATATGACTTTTCGCATTAACAGTAACATTATTGAGTTGTAACCCACTTAGTCACTTCCCACTTCATCAGTAAGCCCGCAGTTGCTGTTAGCTCGTCCAAGACTCCTGAAATCCTCAGAGTAGGCAGAGCCTGAGATTTTACTTTAGTTCATGAATTTTTCTTTGACTACACTAAGTTCACAGAAGACCCAAAGTGTTTGTGCATTCCAAGAAGCTCTGCAGGAAAAGCTTTCTTTTCTGGGAAACTTATAAGGCTTGCAGAGCCCCAGCTCTGATATCCATTCACCCAAGACTTGAATCCTCTACATTTTTTTTTTTTTTTGCTGTATTTAACTAATCAAGAACAAACCCAATTTTGCATAAAAAAATATTTTGTACAAAACATCTAAAACATTTTCTAAAACATCTTCTAAGATCTCACAAATGAAACCACTGGCAACAGCCTAAAGAAAGGACTCCTCTCGGGTCTCGCCAGTTCAGTCCCCCTTGCCTCCCCTTCCAGGATCCAGCTACCCTAAAGTAACCTCCTGTGGGCAGACTCTTGTTTTGCAGCACCTGCAAAATAATTTGAGGTTGCTACACACCTGTGAGGAGGCAGTAAGTTGCTTTATGCTGCTTGTGCTTCAGCACTTGAACTTGTCTGTGGACAACTGCTATGGAGCAGCCGGTATCTGGCTGCTGGTCTTGCCAGATACTGGCTTCTGGATCTGCTCTGTTGTTTGCAAGACAGAGGAAATGCAGTACAAAGGCATAGACTCGTCATATTTACCAAAGCTAAAAAGTATTTTTCTACCCACTTTGCTAGTTTTGATCCCCCATCAACACATGGCAGTCAGTGAAATCTGAGACTAGGTCAGAGACCTAGTCAAGAATGTGCATTAATATAATTAATCACCTATCAAATGCTAGAAGAGAAACCAAATTCTTTGCTGATTTACACCATATTAAAGCCAATTGGATTGGGTGAAGAGCAAAGTCGAGGTTGCAGCTGGTACATATACATAGGTACCGTCATGTAAAAATAGAAGTGTATGCTCTCGTTTGTAGGCTAAGCTGTAGAGAATGAAGTTCAAGTTAAAAACATGCATGTTTCTTTCCTTACAGAAACCTTCAAACATGACTGCATATTTCCTAAGAGACTGCTCAACTTGCAGCAATTCTTACTTAGATCTGGTTGCAGACATAGTAAAAAAACTTTTATCGTTTGGATTATTTCCTCCACTGGCTAGTACATCTAAGAAAGGCACTGGTATACATATGTTTAAAACAGAAAATAATTAAGTCCAGCAAACTTTCTTGTATCTCAACTCAGATTTGGGTTGGTTTGATTCAGTAGCAATGTTGCTGAAGTTGGATGCCAGTACTATCAACTGTGTAGGAACCAGCATGACATCCTTGATATATGGCTACAAGAGGAGAGTAATCTGGATAATTTAAACTTTTCATACCATTTCCACATAGCAAACCCAGTGTACTGCCACATCACGTACTCACTAAATACAAACCCTACATGTATTTGGTCAAATTGGCCAGCAGAGCCCACAGCAAAGAGAATTTATGATTGAATAAATGACTTAACTTGATGTTTTAAAAGAAAAACAGAATCCCTGGAATTACTATAGAGTATCGTAAAAGTAAAAAAAGCAAAATGTTAGACTTCATCTATAACACTGTAAATGAAGAAAAGGTAAGTTGAAACTGTGTGGAACACAGATACTCTGCTCACATGGTATAGAAATAGCATAACTGACAATCTACCAGTGCATATTAGTAACTTCTTTAAAAGTGTACGTGCTTATTTTCTTGCATATACATGCTGTAGTATAACACATGTAAATTATTACACATTTTCTTGTGATCAAAGGCATGTTTAGATATGCCAAGAACTATATCTGGACTCAAAATAGCATTCCCAAAAGAAGGTAAAGGGATGGATATGAAAGCAAATACAATTCAGTCACTAAAAATACATTCAGTTAAGATGTTGGTCTAATTCATACGAAGATTTAAAACACTTAACATCAAGCACGCAAGAAATGCCACTGACCCCTCTGGCTCTCATCTATTGATTACACAAATAAATGTTGTCAGTGGCCATTACTAATAGAAATAATCTTCCATTTAAATGAGAAATCTCTTTCCCTTTATGAAACTGGTTATTTGTTACATCGTATTTTCATTTATCAAAAAAATAAAAATCTTTCCGTTTGTTGTTTCATAAACTGTCAGATTAAGATAAAAATCTTCAACCTTTTTTCTCTTTTTGCTAGCAAACAGCTGCTTCTCCTTTTCCTCTTTCTAATTTGTTAGTCTCGGTAAACACACACACACACACACATCTCTACTCAATACATTTTCTCTTACTGATTCGGAACAAGATTTTAAAAAAAGAGCCCCTGTAATTTAGGAACATTAAATCTAATTTCAAGAGTGGCATCATTTGGGAGTGTTAATTCCCATTAAATCATCAGTTTTTCTCATGCAAGCTAAACCACAGAATTACTCACATTTAATTATTTAAAAGTTTTTTTAATTAAAACACTTTTTCATGCTCTTTGTAATATTAGAACACTATTTTATAACTTATTTTCACCTTTGTTTAATATAAATATTCTATCTTCTGTAGTCATATGCTGTTGTAACAGTGCTTCTTTTACATCTTCTGTCGTGCAGCAAGGTGTCTCTCACTATCTGAACTCAGATATTAATTTTGCAACTCTAAATTCTGTTTTATATTTACACATTTTTCTGTACTTCACTTCTCTTTAATATATTGAACCAATGGACCTGTCTGGGAATTTTCTGTTGGATTTTACCTTCTCAGATTCCCCAGTGAGTCACTAACGGTGTTCTTCACCTCTTCCTTTCCTGGGTTAAAAAATCTTTCCTTCAGTGAACCGAACCCTTTGAAAGGCATTTTGTCTTTCTTCTTCAGTAAATCCCTTATGTTAACAAGCATTCACTTCTGCTGTCATATTTCCCGATGCCAGACTTGGGAGCCTCCGCCGGTCCCCTCAGTGACCTCTGCAATAACAACCAGTTGCTCAAGAAAGGAGCATGGAAGAAAAAAAAAAAATCAAAACAGATCTTCCAAAGCCAGAAAGTCAGTCGGGAAGAGCTCTGGAGCGAAACCCCCTCGGAAGCACTCAGGGACTCGGTGGTGCACTTGCAGCAGCTCTGCCGTGCATCTGTGTGGGGTCGGGTACCTGTATGGGCAGCTAGTCTGGAGGCTGCAGCTGGCGAGCTGGAGGAGTTGCCGAGGGCCGGTGTCCCTGGGCTGGATGCTGCTGCCTGCATCAGAGGTGAACCTCAGGCTGGCTCGCTGGGGCTCATCCTCAGTGCCTGCCTCCCTCCCTCCCTCCCCTGCCTCTTTTGCTGCGAGATCCTGTGCAAGGTGGTGCTATAGTAACAGACACAATACCTGTCCTCAAGCCACTCCAGTTCATTAATAAGACCTCATCTATGGCAAAGGCAAGAAGTTTATTAAACATTTACAAGTCCTCTCTGCAGGGAGGGAATTATTGCAAGCTACAGTTCCCATTCACTATATACCCCCCGCCCAGATGAGCCCCCCTACCCCAATGCACCTGCTGGTTTGAACCCAGAGCCACCTTCCTCAGCCTGGTCATTTATTACTGATGTTCCTGGGCCTTTGGGCAGACAGATGCAGAGGTGCATTGGTGTGATGCTGTTTGAATAAGCAATGAAAGACTGGCTATAAATTAAATGCATTGCATTTTTGAAACACAAAGTGGCTGAAAGAGGTGAACCTGTCCAACTCAACATGACTTCATGATGACAACACACTTTTCCTAGCATGATGGAAAGTATTTAATGAAAGCACTTGTGGAAATCCATCCTGCCAGTACGCTCGTCAAGCCTGCATGTTGGCTGGAGTCAAATGAAGAAATTCTGCTTTTGGCAAGGCCTCAGTTATTGGGTTTGGGTTATGGATGACAAGGAAAAAAAAAAAAAAAAAAAGGAGCCACATTTCATACTGGTTTTGGGCTCCTGTCAGCCCTTCCCTGTTCCCTGGGTGGAGGGGAAGGCAGAAACCTTCCAGGTTGTTAGAAAAATAGAGAGCTTTGTGTTTGCCACATTCCCCTTGATCTCCCAAGAAAAGTTAAATTAAGAGCCCGTCAATGCCTCGCCAGGCCACCAGCAGGAGAAGAATTGGTTTCCCCTAGAAGACCCCGGCTGCGAGTTGCTGTGTGGAGGGCAGGTGGGCAGGCAGCTGCCCACCCACAAACCCCAGCTCCTGCTCTGCCACTGTCCGCCTGGTGCCCCTGAGCAAGCTGCTGTGGCTCTGTTCCCTCCCTCCTGCCCTATATTATCATTATCCTTCCAGGCACAGTGGCCATGCTTTTCCCCTTCTGTTCGGAGCTTGGTCTACCCAGACTCTACAGAGAGAGAGAAGGAAAAAGAAAGCAAGAAAGCAATTCCTCCAGAGAAACAAACTGGATCTGAGTTGTTTTCAGCTGCCTTAGGGCACTTACAGACTCCTCATTTGGGTGTTTCAACTGAGTGAGTAGGATTGAGTGGGATGTAATCTGGGCCAAAGTGGGGCAAGGACTATCCACCCCTCCCTTCCTCCTCTGGCTCCTTGCATGGGCCATCAGTCTCTGGGTTTTAGATGTCTCCATAATATAAATACCAAACGTCTGGATTGTCCCAGCTCCACTACGAGGAAGGGAATATTGGAAAAAAAACACTTCCTCATGGTTAGGTGAGGCAAGTAAGCAGCCTGCACTGAAATCCTTTATTCCTAGCATAAATATGAAGAGAAGACGGAGGGAAGGGGAGGG